CCGCTCACCGCGGATTCCCGGCCGCCTGCCGCCGCCGGGCGGGCCTGCCCGCCGCCGCGGGGGCCCAGCAGGTTGTGTGGGGGGTGAGGGGACGCGGCCCCGCTCCCCGGGAGGAGCTGGCCGGGGGGAGGGCGGCAGTCCTGGGATTGGCGGCTTTTTCCCTGCGGAAAATGCGAACCTCAGGCAGGAACCGAGGTTTTCCCCCCCCAGGGCATACCTGAGACCAAACGGAGACCAGGCGAGCGCGGGGGCTGTGAATGTCTCCCTGCAAGGCCCGATGTACAACGATCGCAAGCTTAGTATTCGTCAGTGGGGTCGCAAACATTTAATGCTAATTTGGGATCGCCACATGGAAGATTATTACAACAGTCAAGCGGTGTATTAGTTGGCGTTTGTTTGTGGCCTGCGCCGTAGTGTAACCTAACTTTAATCCCCAATTTAAGATGCTGGGAATAGGTTCAGGGCAAGGAGAAACTGTGTGTGTGTGTGTGTATATATAGGTATATATATATGTGCGTGTGTGTGTATATATATATATACATAAAGTGTAGATTGGTACTAAGGTTGCTTGGCCATGTATTGCTTTCATCTTTCAGGTCACATCTTTTCAAGGAGTGGCTGTTCGCAGCCTCTGCACATCCTCCCCTCATGAACACCCAGAACACGGAAGATTAGTTTATAAAGGAAATTTGGCAAAGGCAGTGCTAGGTATGTGACTTGAAGTGATTTGTATTGCTTTTTTTTTTTTTAACAGTGTTTAATAACTTTAAAATGCAACATTATAAAAGTGACTGTTCTCCTTTCCAACTCTGCTAAAACCTGGATCCTCTATACAGCACAAAAATATGGGGGTGGTGGTCCTTGGTTTCTGCTTCTACGCTTGGGTGTGCAGGGAGTTCTGTAGGTACTGTGCATCTTTGTAACCCCTCCGCCTCTGTCTGTTTCTCTTGCAGCTTTTGGAGTGCATGACCCAACCCAATAGCAAACAAAGGCTAGCTGTAACTGCTATTTACATTCTGTATGTTTTCAAATGTTACTGAAATGTTGCTGAAGTAGACAGATACTACGATGAAATGCACTCTCTGTAATGAGACTTTGCTGGTCTTTCTCTGACCGGTTAACGTTACAAAGACCTAGTGAAAAGTAATCCATTGGATGTTTTCTTATATGCATTTTTGAGATGTGTCTTAAAGAAAGAGGAGGTATGCCTTACGAACATACATAATTATCACAGCATCTTAGGCTCCTGGTTCTCACAGTGGCTTAAGGACTGTGAGAGATCCACAACACTGGCTACTGTCTTTCGAGCTGCATGCAAGATAGCTGTGGAGTACTTGCTAATATTGAATAACCTAGGTTTTTCAAGTTATGCATGGTAGGGGACCAAGTGAGCTTCTTTGTAATGTACAGTGAATGTCAACATTAGTTGTTGGTGAAGAAAGAAATTCCCAGTCATATCTGTCATGATTACCGTTATGTGTGTCAATGGCTGGAGTCAAGTTTCTCTTGAAATCAGTTTCAATCATAATAGCTAGTAGCTGACTTCATCATAGAAATAGAGCCAGCTACCAGCTTTGATAAACCCAACATGAACACATAAACAAAACAGAAGTGGCAAGAAGGCAGGGTTGAACTGCCCATGGTTTCTTTGTAAGCTTGAAAAAAAAAAAGAGAAGTGGATTTTCAGTAACATCAGCTGTTTGAGTAATGCCATTGATATATAGTAGCAGAACATACGTAATTATAGAGAAAATTTTAGTCATAAGTATTAACCTTAATTTTCTTTTTGTTTTATGTAGGTGTGAGGTTTTTCTCTTACTCCACCAGCATATTCAACCTGTTCATGATGCCCTACATCATGTTCAAAACGGGTATTGGATTTGAAAGTCTGCTTATACAAGCTGCCTTTTATGGGTTGATTGGGTTTTTTACATTTGTAACACCGGTTACTTTGCATGTCCTTACAAAAGGCTATGTGATTCGACTCTATTATAAAGATGAAATGGACACATATACAGCCATTACATACAATGCGATCTTGGCAGAAAAAGCGACTGTTTTCCATCAGAAAGATGTAAAGATTCCAGACATCACCAAGATGTTTACAACATTTTATGCTAAAACAAAATCAATGCTTGTTAATCCGACGCTTTTCCCAAATCCTCAGGATTATAACCATCTCATGGGCTATGACAAATCCTTTTATTTTAACTTAGAAGAGGAAAAGGAAGCTGGTGAAAAGAAATAATTTGAAGATAATGAATGTCACTCTCATTGTTCACGGTGCAGTGCTATATATGTGAAAGAATGTAAAATTCTGTTACACTTTCATAAGTATCAGGTAGCTAGAAGTCCCCAAATGCATTTTGGAATGTATAAGAAAAAAAAAATAATTCTTTTAAACTTGTAAACAATGTGAGGGCTTCTTCAGAGTTAATGACACAAAACATAGTAAAAAAAAAAAAAAAGCTTAGATCTGTCTTGTGCTTGTTTGTTCTTGGCTTGGTTTTTATTGTTAACTATCCAGGAGAACTGTAGAATGCATGGGCTGTGCGGCAATCTCACCACCTCCATTTCAAAAGGAACCATTAGTATAAGAAAAATCATCAATACACATTACCTGTCAAGTACATAGTTAAGCTTTTAAGCCTTAAAGATTAATTGTACTTAATCCAAAAAGATTGGGCTTTTTCTTCGATGCTACTGGTGGTATAAAGGGAGTGGAGATGGCTTTCACTTCCCTTTGTGAGAGCGTCAGTAGCCAGGAGGAGTCTTCAGAAAGCAGACAGGTATTGTTGCTAGTTCCCACTACAGCCTCCTAGAGGCCTGCAGGCCTCTGGAGAAGATAGGGAGAATGTCTGCGTCACAATAATCTCTAGCTACTCACAGCTACTAAATGGTTTCTTAAGCTAGAGTCCCACTCCAAGCAACCCTGTCCCCAGAGGTGGAGAACGAGAAGCCTCTGTTTTGTTGGGTGGGGAGAAGCGCCTTAGCATAAGAATTGCTCTCTGAATATCCTGTTGAAAACATGTGCTGTATTTGAAGCAACTGAAAATACTAGCAGCTAGTAGTTAAAATGGATTCTGTCAGCATTTATGTAAGATGGGGAAGCAAAACGGAATCTCCTGTAGGGTACTGTTCAGATCTTGTGCCTTTAAAAAAACATACGTCTTGATTTTTAGCACTGCGAAGAAAGCCACCTTTAGCTCAAGTAAAAAGATGATTAGATCTTTTCATGTGACTAGACTGGTTATTTCTGCACTTTGAGTATGCAGAAATTGGATTTAAATGTTTTTAGCCCAAGGAGAGGTTTGTCACGTAAACTGACGGATACTTGTTTTCAAATAATGAAGGGCCTAAATATTCTGAGGCCTAAAAGTTACTGCATTAAAAAAAGTCAAAATTCAAATTAATCCTTTTGTATTAGCAGTGCCATTTGTAATAAGTAAATCTAATGCTTGCTACTAATTAAGTCATCCTGATACTGCAAATAAAGAGAAAATAATTATAGCTACCTTTCCAGATGTTTCCTAAGTTCTAGCTGCAAAAATGTATTTAAAAGTCTAAATGTCTTCCAAGACTATTATTTCAGTTTCCTGTCATAGGATGACACTACAGATCATACTAAGACACTAATGTTTTTAAATGTTGTTTTCCTGAATGTTGAAACTGCTCTCGTTGTACTTGCTGAGTGATTAAAAAGCAAATCAACCCATCCAGATATTTTTGCGGCAGTTGTTTTGTGTTGGGGCAGCTATAATTTTAAAAGCCTGATCTAGCCCCATTAAGCCAGTATCACTTTATAGGTAACAATAATATAAAAAAAACATATTCCATAAATGATGCTGAAGATGTGAGGCCAGTAACAAGCAATTCTGATCACCTAGTTGTACTGCTTGTCCTTATTGAAATGATATTTTACACCTAATTAAAAATAATCTTTCCATTCTTTCCATGTCTGATGCATTCACTCTCATCTTTTTGTGCTTGCAAATGAAGTTAACTTCATCTTTGAATGCCAAATACAGGGCAACAGGAAACAGAGTTTGCAAGAGGAGGTAAAGGAAAGGCCCCAAAATAATGTTTATGTACCCCTTGAGCAGTATTAAAATCCTCAGCCTTCTGACTGCAGAAAAGTTTCACTGCTAAATTTGAGATTTGGCCAATTCAGATTTAAGCAGCAATAGTAAGAAGTTTCCATCCCAGTGGCTGAGTTTCTTAAAAAAAGTATGGAAGCTAAACATTATTTCTTCTATCTGTTTGTCCTCTGGCAGTGAAATGCCAGCTAAGCTAGTAGGTGGCTTTCTGACACATAGATGATTTTAAAAAAATAATTAAAAAATCCAGATTTCTACCAGAAGATAGGTGATGATTCTGGCCATCATGTAGTCTCAGAAAAGTATTTTACACTTCCAATGTGCAACTTGAAAATAATTATTCCGTAGTTTTCTTTTAATAGTACTTTTATATTAAAGAAAGAAAAAAACAAACTAGAGATGCATAATATTCTACCTTGTTTGCTGCTAGCTTGGGAAACTCAGTTTGGGAAACAACCAAGTTGTAAATCCTAAAATCATAATATTTGTTATGGTTGCCAAGTAAGTATGGCTTTGGCCTCATCCCTGTTAGTGTCTCCACAGTTCGTGTGTATAATCCCAGAATTATCAGATTTGGCTTTTTTGCAATTTTTGCTTACAGTATGGACTTAGAATCATAGAATCATTTAGGTTGGAAAAGCCCTTAAGCTCACTGAGTCCAACTGTAAACCTAACACTGCCAAGTCCACCACTAAACCATGTCCCTGAGCACCACATCTACACATCTTTTAAATACCTCCAGGGATGGTGACTCCACCACTTCCCTGGGCAGCCTGGCAGCCTGTTCCAGTGCTCGACAACCCTTTCAGCAGAGAAATTTTTCCTGATACCCAATCTAGACCTCCCCTGGTGTACGTTGAGGCTGTTTCCTCTCATCCTATCACTTGTTACTTGGGAGAAGAGACCAACACCCACCTCACTGCAACCTCCTTTCAGGTAGTTGTAGAGAGCAGTAAGGTCGCCCCTCAGCCTCCAGCAGCTCAGTGTCTTTCTTGTAGTGAGGGGCCCAAAACTGAACACAGTATTTGAGTTTACTTGCACATATGTGACTGGTTTAGATCCCTGGAACATGTTAAGAGCAGTAGAGACTAGTATTCAAACAAATGTAGTTTGTTCTTCACGTTAGCAATGAAATAATGCAATGGAAATGTAATCCAAAAAGGCTTCTAGATGTGTATCTGTTTTACTTTGGCTTCTGAACAGTCTGTCTTAATACAGATATTTCACAGTGCACTGAGTGCATTTCTAAGCGGGAAACTGAAATGCTTGGTGTCCTTCTAAGCTAGGAAATGTGCATAAACCAAAACAGGCCCTCTTGCTACTAATAAATCATGCAAGAGAATTGACTGTAGTGTGAATGTTTCAATAAGCAGATTGCTGTCAAGTAATTCCCAAAGCCTAGTTATGTTAGCTCCACATTCTTCACAATCCTATTAATTTTATGAACTACTATCTTCTTCTAGTTTATTTTTCTTCAGTTTTATACACTTGATGAAAACCAGTTCTAATTGCAGAAGTATTACTACCTGCTAACGTTTTCTTCCCTGGAAGTTGCTGATATTTCTTTGGGTGTGGGTAATTTGTGTACAACATGGAAGAAACGATTAATTTATAAGACCTAGAGAATGTGCTCATAAACATGGAGATTCTGAAGGAAATACTGATGTAGAAGCCCAGTCTTCTAAAATATGTGATTTACAAGCTGTCCTGTTTGCAAGGCTATACCTACTATGAAGGTTGCCAGCTCCTGCTGTCTTTCCAGTACCAACCAATCACTTCTCCCTAGCAGCTGGGTCTCACATCTTACTCAGGTACCAATATCACTCAATCTGGTGTGAAGAGCAGGAATGTACAAAATGACTCAAGCCTCTTTCCTATCCCCTTCCAGCCTTAAAAGCTTCCACAAAAGGCCATAGATGACTGCTTTTTTTCCTAGGAAAACAGACAGGATATATGCAAATTTTTCTTTTCAGTCTTTGACTACCTGCCATTTTCTTGCCAGTGTCCCTCTCCCCTTTTCTCAAGTTTTTGGCTTTGTCCACAATATTATTCATAGTCCCTATCTGTTCTTAATTATAAAGTACAATGCTTCTTGTCATTCTTTAATGTTATTTTTTTTAATTAAATTATCCCACAACCCTCAGCCTTTTCTTGCAAATGCAAAAAATTCTGATGAGAAAATTATCCCCTTTTGATACTTCAAAGGGAAATCTTTAAAGCTCTGAGGTACTTCACGCTCTTAACCACACTCTCTAGAATTAAAAGCTAACTAATTTCACTGGAGCTTGGTTTATTACAAACCAAAGTCATCACATTGGCAAAGATGAAGAAAATCTGTGTAGATTTTTGCATTGTACTGTCAGGGCCTAATTTAGATGATGGAAACTTCATGAAATTTTGTGCTGTAAAAATTAAGAGCACACATGTGAATTATTACAATTGCTCGGTATAACTTAATAGGTGGAAACTTGGTAAGCTGCTGTAATTTGGTTGCTCTGGAGCTCTGTGGTCATATCACGAATTTCTTCATGCTCCCACGTACAACATAGCCTGCTGCAGCCCCCCTGAGAAATGGGACAAGTGTGCTAGATAGGAGTTGGATCCACTATAATAAGATTATCCCACAGCTATACGTACCTCAGCGAGCAGCTATTTTAAGCAGGGAAGAACAGAGAACAAAAGCAAACAGCTGCAAAACATGTCCACCTTTCTCCGTTTCTGGAACACCAGGGTGGACAGAGTTGCTGTGGTGTGCTTTCTGTCAGCCTCAGGTAGGACACAACCGTTCCTTCTCCCTTCACCTGCTGCTTTCTCTTCTTTTCGACAGCTTCAATGGTTTAATGTATACTTTAGAGTATAACTATAAGCTTTAATCCTAAAGTTGGCTTGGAAAGAATAAACCATAAGCCTACTGGCAACAGGCAGAGTTATTTCCAACATAATTGTTTCCACAGGATACCACCTGGTGCGTATTTGCTTCACTTTAATAGTCTCCAGTGGTTTAATGTGATATATTCAAATCAAACCCCTAAGCCAAAGTGCATACAGCATTTAAAAAATATATTCAGAATAACACACATCACTTTTTCTTTCTTTCCACAGCTATTTGCTTTCTTACTCAAATGCTACCAGCTCACCACTGGGTATGTGTTGGAGCACTGCTCCTGGGTCAGACTCCCCCGACGCTCTCAAGCACTTCGTCAGCTGCATGTAGAGGAGCTGAACCCTCTACCTCTTTCTAGTATCCCTGGGCATGACTTTCTACTTCCATTATAAACATTGTCAAAGATAGGATGAGAGGATTTGAGAAGAGAGATTTATCCATGTATTGCTACAATTTTCTATTCTTCATGTTGATTGCTGAGTGTGTTTCTGTTTTGTGAGTAATGCCTTATGCCTTATATATAGCCCCTTTATATTGGAGTGTCTTCAGCAGTAACCCTAAACCCAGGATCAGAAGTAATAAACGTCTGCTTCCAGCTGCAAAAATATCTACTTCAAAAACTGTCACAAATGGTCCTGCAAGGAAAATAAAATTATTATTGCCTCTTTCTTTTGTTGAATAAATGTGTTTAACATCTTAAAAGAGTTTTCCATTAACGTGAGGTTTTGGTCCATGCCAAGAACTAGGACATAATTTTTAATTCTGTCTGACTAACACTGAAACGGAGTACTTTCCTCTGCTGTACTGGTTATTTATTTATTTTTCTGTGATAGGATATTATGATAACGTGTATTATAAATCTTTCCTGAGGGAGATTTCAGTGACTTATAAGTGCTTATCTGGTCAAACTACTCATCTGCAGCCAACAATCCAAAGTGATTATTTTGAAAACCAATCACAAGTAAGTTAAGCACTTTTTAGATGTATTGAGAAAGAAGAGAAAAATATCATAAATTAGTTTAAGGATTTTAACCACAAATCAGTGAGGACGCTTGGAGTTAAACTTCTACTCTCAGCATCTCAGATGTAGACAAAATGAAAAGTCATAGGTATGAAATCCTAAGTTCTCTAGTCTTGGATTTATTTTATGTGCTGTTAACTGGATATGCAAGTTGGTCCCTACTAAATGTAGTTGCAAAGGATTTAAAAATAACTGAAGTAAATTGTCACAAAACTCTAGTGAAGTAACACCATTGTGTAGCTCTTTCCACTTCTCTTTCTCTCCTTTTCACCTTCCTTCTGGATCAGAGTATGTAAGAAGAAGATTATAAAAAACAAAGAGTATTTAGTAAAAATAAAATATATAGAAATTTATATCCTTCTTCTTCAGTGACCTTCATACTGACTTGAAAGGGACAGACCAGACTCCTCACACCTCTAGTGCACTAGTTTGGGGCTTCAGTGAGCGTCACAAGAGGTCACTTCTGTGAATGGCATCGATAAGGGCATCAAATGCCACAAGCATCTAAACTGAATTTGCTGAGAAGATTTAAAAATTATTAAGGTTATTTTGATTTAAGGACAAGTTGACCAGACACAATGGTCAGGGTTATAGACTTTATAATCGTGGTCATAAGTGATATTTTAGCCCTGATACCAGTAGCACTTACTGTCCCTATTTTCTCATTAGCCAGCCAGATCCTTCTAAAATGGAGCCTAGTTAACGCCGATTTTTTAAAGCATTGGAATGGTCTTGAGTTGTACAATAAAAGTGCATGCAATAAGGAACAGCAGAGGATACAGAGGTTTCCCCATGTGTCTGTCTAAGCCACCAGGGGGGACTCATTCCTCATCTATATAATTTACTGCAGCAAGTATCTGAAAAAAAAATCTATTCTTGAACCAGGTACAGAAAGTCACCGAGTTCAGCCAAGAGCTTGTCTTCATTTATGTTAAAAGAGCTTTCATATCAAATCTTGTAAATCCGCAGCGCTCTTTCCAGTCTGCCCATGAGTACATCAGCCACCCAACGCACTGTGCAGCAAAGTACAAGTCTGGTCACAGAGGGACAGGCACGCTTTCAGCTGGGTAATCATGTATGTCAATAGGGTACAGTCAGTGCCATCTCAAGCCCACTTCAAACTGACCTGTGACTTTTGCTAAATCAATTGGACTGACAGAAGACTCAGCGGAGAGCCTGGCTTGGCATCTCGCTGGTTAGACTCACTCTGCATCAGTGGCCATGGCTTTGTGGCTGAACGGAACCTTTTTTTGCCTGTACATGCACAAGGTAGCTCTTCGCTAGTGGCTGCTTCATCACACCTTAGTGGCTGTCTCGTTGCTCCATTTTGTTCTTCCAACTATTGCAGACTTCCTGATTTATTTCCATTTCACTACATATTTTACTATTTTTAAGCAAAATTTGGCCATTTTGACACAGAACTGTATTATTGCTATGATCACAAAGGGTTTGTATGTTTAATAGCATCCTATTAAACAACAGCAAAAATCTGTGTGTGAGCTACATACTCAGAGATCTGTCAGGAAAGTTGTATAATTTTGAATTCCCACTTGAAAGCCACCTATTAAAAGTTCCTTTCAGTCTTGAACTCTGTCAGGCTGGTGGGACTGTGCTTGTGGTCTGTGGAAAGATTTGGAAATATTGAAGGGAATTCTCTAGCCATATTAAATTTTCAGATTTTTATCTTATTTTGTGAATTATTACATGTATTAGCTCACTAGTTGGTACTTTTAGGTACTTTTGAATTCTCACCTTCCTTTACTAGTCTGTGAACTTCCCCCATCTTCTGGGCACAATCAGCCATGTTTTTGTGCATGTCGCTATTCCTGAATTATCTTTTGCGTTACACGTTTGGACTTCTGAAATCCAATTTCTTAATCTTTTGCTACTTTACCTTTATAATATGTAAAATAGTACCCTGGTGTGCATGGAATTTGGGAGAATAAAAGCTTTTAGACACAGTGATGGGGAGTGGGGAGCTGGAACAATTTATTAAGTTATATTTGTTGTAAGTAATTTTTATTAAGTTTCCTGCTTAGCACAAAACCAAATACCTGTCTATTGTATATACTGCTTCTTTTTTTAAAAAAAATACAATTTCTGATCTCAGAGAAGCCTGCAGACATACATAGAAACCAAGAGGGTAACTCATGAGAAAACAATTTGATTAAGTTCTGTAAGTTATTCTTCCATAAATTCAGTAAGTAAGTTTCCATATTTTATTATATTCAGAAAAAAAAAAAGTAATTGTGTTTCCTGTCAGTTAGATGGTGATTGTGCTCTCTTGAATGAGGTATGAGACTTTTTTTGATCTCTTTCTGTAGTTGGGACTAGCAATATTGCTGGGTTTGTGTAATAAAAGCCGACCCAGTTTAGTCCACAGAACTGATGTAGCAGATACAGGCAAAATATGTTACTCTGTGTGTATTGCACTAACAGAAAGAAATAAGGGGGCGGATCTAATACCAAAAGCGCTTTAAGAGTTTTTGTTTTAGTGTTTCAAACCTGAGTACCAAAATCTGCAACCTAGACTGTTTTCAACATCTTGGGTTAAAATCGGGCTCCTAATCAATCTTCAGTTGTGACGGGTAGATTCTGTGTTCTTACAGAAACATCTCACTCAAAATGTGACAGCTTTTGTTGTTAATTGTCTCATGTTTGGTGTCCACCTGGCCCCATGCCTGGGCACTGCACTGGCACAACAGCCAGGGGTTGGGCTCCGTGCTCTTGGGCAAATGGTGCAGCGCAACTTCTCCAGCAGAGACAAAGAGTGGGGGAGAAGGTCACAGAGGGAGGCTGGGAGGCGGACATGGGACTTATCAGTTGTGATGTTATGGATTTTTAAGATTGCTTTCATTAAGAAGTATAATTGTGATAGTTACGGCTTTGAAGATGGTAGCTGGCACTGTGCAGGACATCAGTGGTTCTACTCAATAACATGTCAGACGGTTGCCTTCAGCTCCCATACTTACCTCCATTTGGAAATACATCATCTAATTACACTTCTCTGCAGCACTGGCTTGTTCTTAAAGCATGGTGAGCTTTGTAAGAAATTAATTCTGAAAACTTGTGAGAGTTATTGACTACCATATCAATAAAAGAGTGGACTTGGTTTTCATCATGTGTGGATTCTTCTTTTCTTTAGTATGTACAGGAAACTCTGTGTTTTAAATTATGCCTTAACAAATGTTATATCTGATGAGTCAACTGAACTTTCCCTTTACGTGCTTCTGGTAATCATAATTGTACTTCTCCTCACTTCCCCATTTCACACAGTTTTCTCTTTCATTTTTCACTCGTGGCTTGAGCTGCATTGTCTGGGGAAAATGTAACAACAAAGGCAGAAATTCTTTTTCTTCACAAAATTTATTGTAATGATAATTGATAGTGCTGCAGTAGGATTAATTAAGATTGCAGAGAATTTGACAAAATAACCGAATATTCCCTGAAGACATGTGACTGAGGATGACTGTACTGAATTTTTGTTCCTCTTTTCCCAAAACAAAGTTTTATGCCATCGAATACTGAGGCAAAAAAGTAACTATGTTTGGACTTTTTTTTTTCATTTTATTCACCCCCGGAGTCAGTGAATTACTTTGTACGTCGTCAGAGCTAGAAATGTCATATACTTTTTGTGGTAAGTAAAAAATAGCTTATTCTTTTCTTTTCTGGCGTTCGCACAATAATTACTGTAGTTTGAGGAAATGTGAACTTTCTTTCAAATTTGTTTCTTTGATGAATACAGAAAAATAAAAAGAAGTTCAGTTGGAGTATATTTCTGTTATTAATTACCGTACTATAAGAATTGTACTGAATAGACACAAAGATTACCATAATGCTGGCTGCAGCAGCTAAGAGAGAAGTTTACACCCAAGTAAAGCAGGCATGTTTTGGTTCAGGAAAAACTAGAAGATAAGGGATTTAAACTTGTTTTTCAAGTACTGTATTGAATAAATTATCCACATTGATTTAACCAATGTATTACAATGAAAAGCTTTAAGGATATGAAAGAAAAGGGGGAATGTGATGTTCTGCCAGGCTGGAGGACCAGTCAGGCTCTGGGACAACATGGCGTGTCCCTTCTTGCTGTGTCTGTGTCGTGGGCCGCTGGATCTGTGTAGTTCACTGGGTTTTTTGGTCGATTCTGCAACAACTGGGCACCTCCCTGATTGTCTGTGTTGAACAGGCTCAGTGGGCCCATGCAGACCCAGTGGTCAGAAGGTGGGCTTCTGAGGAGATATTTTGCAAGGAAAGGCCCCTGTCTTCTGAAAATCTGTGTGCATTACTAGTGTATATCACCTGTAAAATAGCTATATAAACTGAGGCACAGGAGGGGATGATTATTTTGCTTTACATTAATAGTCACGTTAAAAATTTAACAGGGGTAAAAGTGGCGGTACTTAAGCTTGCAAAGCAAACCTTTGAGAGCAGGGCAAGTTTTGTTTGCCCTTCTTCCTGTCGCAATTTCCTGTGCGTAGTGGTATCCAAGATGAGAAGCTGACTGCCGGTTACCGACAGCCAGACAGTTTCCCTCTGCACGCCCCTTGCTTTAATCCCCCAAACACAAGACAGGACCCTTCACCGTAAACGACCCCACCATCCCGTTTGCTGGTGGGGTTAGCGCGGGGAGCAGGCCTTCCCCAGCCTGCCAAGCAAGGTGAACTGAACAGACTTCTTTCCTAAAATTAAAATAAAAATAAAAACTGACTGGAAATGCTTCCAAAGGCTGTAACTGAATGAATTTTTAAAAATTAAAATATCAGCTAATAGGCTCTAAATTTGATTAAGTACAGGTTGTATGATACTTTATCACGCTGCATCTGACACTGTGTGTTGTACAATGAATGCTAGGTGGGTCACTCACAAAACAAATCTACTCAAAGGCTCATTTACATTATCCTGAAAATATGCTGGTACATTAAAAACATTTTTAGCTGTTCTCAGCAAATTTATATAGATTGCAGGGGTAGCATAAGTAGGGATATTTTCAGCAGAGGACCATGCTGGCTTAATGCTAATACAAAGTTTCTGTAACTTTAAAAGAGAAATAAAGGTACTTTTACCTCTGAGTTTTGTGTGCAAAATAACATCAACCAAACAATTGACTCCTCTTGCTACTTAAAGAAATATGATATTATTTTTGCCCTCTAAGCATATAAATAATTAAAATATAATTTAAATTACATATTTAATATTTACTGTGGATATTTATGTTAGACAATTTTATAGTATATACCTGAATACATTTAAAAATATGTATGTGTTTATTGTGAGTGTGTACATATGTATATTTTTATTATTTTCCTGGAAGAAGCCAATTTACACTAACAATATGGAATACTTTTTTCCTGTAGATTCTACAGCTCATGATTTCATGTTTAATCTGACACCTTGCAGCATCATGAACAAATCCGTCTGGAAGGCTGGTCTTATGTGGATTCCAAGTGAGTCCCTCCTGACTAGACAATTATATTCTTCAAATGCAAAAAAATGAATACAAGCAAAAAGCTGACACTTGACATCCTAAATGCCAAATGGTTTGGGAGATCAGTTTCTCTGATTAAAAATGGAATAGATAAACTATAGTGATGGACAGAAATGATGATTTGTGGAAATAAGTGTGTTTGAGTTTTACTTGTTGGAGCAGTTACCAGAGCTCTGCACACTAACTGGCACTGTACATGCAAATCTGAGATGGTATAGGTGCATGTGCATTTATCTGGAAGAAGCAGACAAGATTTGCAGCATACGAGCTCTTCTGGCCTGAAGAAATCCAAGTCTGTTTAAGGAGAGAGAATATCATTAGGCTATCCAAGTATGGCAGGCCTTCTACTGAGAATATGCATGTTCCAGAAGCTGGAAATGGTACTGGATTGTGTATGCAAACCCAACATTAATATTAACATCCAGCTTTAAGCTGGCAAGCTGAGTTACTTATGAAATGGCTGTATCATAAACTTCACCTTCTGAGTAAAAACTCTGGAGCTGGACTAAGTCTGCTTCCCTAGAAAGATATCTTTATGATGACTACCAGCATTCAGGTCAGCTTGTTTGCAACACCTGCTTAAAACTACAGAGTCCTCATCTGAGTATTGATTTAGGTTAGCTGTGGAGCTAAGTGAACTCTGTTATCTTTGCTGAAGAAATTAAAACACATTTTTAAATTGTCCACTCAAATATTTTTTTAGACTGATGTTTTTTTGTTGAAAACCAGCTTTTTTTTTTTTTTCTGGAAGTAACAGTTTTCAAAATATGTATTTTTGTTAGTTTTGGGGGCAGTCTTTAAAAAATATTGTATTTCAGAGAAAACTAGGTTTTAGCTGAATAGTGTGTCTGCATATATGTTTTTCCTCCCCACCAGCTACCATATTCTTACTTGCAGTGTCTTAACTAGGAAGTGACATCACCTTTTTGAAGATCGTCTTCAATGTCTGGTACGACAATGCCAAAGCATTACACTGGAAAGAAGTCCTTTGCAGCGGAGCTGACGATGAATACACAGTGTGCGGAATGCTGAAAGGAGGTCAGTGTGGAAAATACACTGTGCCTTTCCCTTGCCTGGCAGGTTCCCTTCACAACAGCACCATATCCTGCCAGACCTTTTTCACCACTCAGCAGATTTCTTAAAAGACTAGTTGATCAACCCATGCAGACAGATTTTTCTCTCCACAATCTAGACCAATTCATCTTGCTTGGCTGGCAGCAGACTTCAGGGCAGGCAGTTTTCCAATGCCAGAACCCCACTAAAATAGAGAATTTCCAAATTTTATGTTTTAACACCCTTGTACTGTAGTTTCCATCTCTATAAATTAGGATTACCAATATCCTTCATCTCATTATGACACTTTTATTGTTAACATCTCTAAAATGACAATGAACGACTACATTTGACTGGACTGTATAGAAAACTTGAGAAGAGCTGGGGGCCTTACTAATATCCAGAACATAGTTTATTTAGATAAGTATCTGGATGGGTTTTTAAAGAGATTCTCTACCCCCATGTATAACGCTTTTTTATTACAGAAGAGTCAATCCTGTTGTAGGGGCTAACCAACATTAACATGAGACAGGCTCAGGTCCAGAGAATTCAGGCAGAATGTCAGACTAAAGGCCAGAAAAGACCTGTACGGAGGTCAAAATACACAATCCATGTTTTCCTTTCTCTAAAAATGAGTATCAGCTGTCTTCGGTTATCATTCAGCTGAACTACTATTACAAGGTAAATTATTGGAGTTATCACAGTAGGATGGGTCTGCAGGAGATGTTGCAGGAGCATTGTGGCTAATTTCTATTTTCTAACGTGGTTTAGACAAATAGGCAGAGCTCTAGGAGAAGAAAAAGGTGAGGGCTTTATCACTGGAAGAGTAAATGGCATTGGCACTGCTGTTGAGAGATATGCCATGTTGCTTTGAAGTTATTTGGGAAGTTTGATGGCTTTATGATTAAGTAACCATTTATATTATAATTATCTCTGTTTTACAGAAACAATTGTGACAACATTTGACATTAAAGGTGCAAGAACAAAGTTTCCAAAGGTACTTTTCAGCATTTTATATAAAGAAATAACAATAGTAAAAATCACATACTTACATGTATATATTTCTAAAAAGACTTGTTTACCCAAACTGTAGAAAACAGCAAAAGGAAATGTCAGAAAACTTTCTCGTGCTTGAAGTGATGACTCCAGTATGGTAGCATCTCTGAAATGCTAAATGTCCTCAGGTTATTATTCGTCTATTATTCCTCCATTATTTTATAGTAGAAAAGACCAAAGATATCAGTTAATGTCACCTTAATAATTCCATTTCATTTGGTAAATTATTGTGTTTAATTTTGCCTGTTTGAGTAAATCCATTCACATTATTTCTTCCCATTTCATTCTTTATTTGATGTTCTCTTCACATGCTGGTCTGTTCCTCCCTGAAATCCTTTTCAAAGATTTGAAGAGGGATAACAATATCCAAAAGTAAAAAGAATGCTCCAGCATTAAACCAGGAGCAGCACCAGTCCTCAGGTTAGCCCACCCTCATCCAACACCCGCCTCATCAGCTGCGTCAGCCTCCCCAAGGCCCTCACCATCCCTGTTAATTCCCACAAATGTCACTAAGGAGCTCCTACTGGCACAAGTTCTCCAGCCTCTCCTTAACTCAAAGCTCATAGGCGTCTAACAGTGTTGAGCTCCATCTGTCCCAGCAGCTCTTCTAGCCCCAGAGCTGGTAGTAAACAGGAAAGTCCTCTGCCATAAGCAATCCTCCTATGGATGAGGTGCTTATGGCAGACCTGACACTTCCCGATGGGACTCTGCCAGACCAGGAACTAACCCTAATCATAGTCTTTGCTGTAAACTGGAAACTCTTGCAAGCCTCCCATGCCTTTCAATTAGTCCTAAGAGCCCTTCAGCTCCCAAGTGCTCATCCCCAGTTTGCAGTACCAGAAGAGGAAGGTGGCAGGTGTCAAAGAGGGTAGGGTAAGACCTGGGTTCAGCAGGGGCCACCAAGCTGTCTTCTGTCCTGGTGCCTACAAAAGTCTGTCTGTGTGAGGGTGTAAAGATGGGTAGCTAGACAATAGCTAAACCTGGGGTGATGCTGCTTTGTGAATCAGACTGCTGGATGTGGATGAGCAGAGCGGTGCTTCTGGAAGGAATGCCGAGCCGACGTGAGGACCAGTATTGTTTGCAGCAGCGTGCACTGCGAGTAAGTGTGGCTGACAGAGCTGGGCTTATGGCTAAGGTTCAGGCAAGCAGTATCCCGCTAGTCAGGGAGCAGATGCTCCATGCAGGGAGGTGAGCTAGGCACTAACAGCATGATTTAAGCAGGCAGCTTGAGACCTCACGCTAGGAGTCATACTGGCTATACTTTGATTCAGGGACTGAAGAACGACTACAGCACTCTTGTCACATGGGTCCTTCCTCCCACTCTCCTCTCTCTAACGTACTTCACCCTAATCTTGACATCATGTTCAAACTCAGGACAAACTTTTTGCCACCAATAATAGTATAAGGTTGCTTTAGCTTTCATCAGGCAGACGTCTGATGTATTCACATCATACGTTCACTCTAAGTTGCTGATTTTGGTAAACACCACTGAGGCTGAATAGCAGTTAAATGTCCAGTATGTGATTATAGCTGAAAACAAAAGGATGGACTGTGCAGTACAACAAACTGTTACAAGACTGGTCAGAAGCTGTGTGGTATATAGCCAGGAGGATTTCCCTAGGACTGCCTGTGAAATAGAGGCTGTTATTGCAACTGCCTATGTTGCAATGGGTGTTGGGGGCAAGAAGGTGGCAGAAAGCCAGCCAAAAATCAAGTGTCGGTAGGAGTGAATCCTTTCTGGATGTAAGCTATAAGGGCTAATAAGGTCACTGCCTTATAGTGGGGACAAAAAAGCCCATTGCTGCAGAATGCAGCCTGGTGTATCAACTCAGTTAATTCCTATTTGTGGAATCAGAAACGTTACTCATGACAACAGCTCTGGAAAGGGGAGCAGGTGCCCTCGGGAGCACAGGACTCTGGTTTGAGAGAGGACCCTGACGAGTGCAAGCTGGACCACGGCCTACTGCTGTTCCTTAGTACCCCGGTCATGAGAATAAAATTGAGCACTATTTTTTAATGTACACATATATCTGAATATACACATGATAACAGTTCCTGATGGGAATCTTTCTTTTTTTGGGGTCTAACAGATGTTACCAGAACCATTCAAAGCAGATACTTAGGCAAAAGCAGGCAGCATTGTGCACTAATTTTCTTTTTTTTTCTTCCTTATTTTAGGGCAATTATAACATTATTTCACAAGGATTCTCTGATGATTCTGAGAATAATATGATCATGTGCTTGAACTTCACCATGATAGTAAAACAAGGCGCTTTCTGAATACGACAAATGTTTCAAATAATTCCAGAACACGGAGCTCACTTCTGCAAGCATCTGGAACCCAACCTGCGAAATAATAAGCACGCTAATTTTCCTGAGGTAGAATACATCATGTACTGGCTGGAAAGCTACATGATGGATAGTCTTATGCATTTATAGCACTGCTGTAATCAGATGCTCAGCCAATGTGCACAAAATCTCTGGGAATCAGACATCCTGATTAATCCACAGAATAACCCTGACTGGATGTCAGGCTGAGGACTGCATTTTGGTGCTGTGCCTTGAGTTATGAAAAGAACAAGTACTTTAGACTGCGCTAAACTAATACAAGAAGTTTTGAAGTGCAAGAACCAGAAGTTCGCCAGTATTCAATTTAAAATAAACCAGCAATTGAATCTGGGAACCCTGTTGTGTGGGTTTTTTTTTTAGCTGATGTGAGTAACATTCAAAGTGGAACATGTTTCCAGTTACACTGATATGGTACAGCTGAATTTAGCCATCCAGAGCTGTAACTGCAACCCCATAGCATGTTTTTAGCTCTTGCTCAGAGTCCGAGGGGCAGAGGCTACACAAGCTGTCTCCTTCAGAAGCAGGGGGATGGTCATTGCTCAACAGGTTGATCTATTCCTCAGTTATCAAAAGCATGTCTAAAGGTTTGCTGTGGCTTCTGCCTCTTGGGCAGCCCTACATTCAGTACCCGCCTTCCTTCTCTGCTGCACCTCCACACCCAAGACCCTCGGTGAGATTTTGATGGAGTGTAAGTATTGGTCCTTAGGAGGAGAGCTGGCAGCCTTTCAGGCTTCATGGTGCTTTGGTGCCACTGTATGATGAAAGACAGCTGACCAGTGCAGTGTACAAATGCTTCCTTCCTTCAGACAGGTACTCTCCTTATGATGTTAGGATGCCATGTCCTCTTTTCATCCTCAGCCCCCAGCCAGCGGTTGCTTAGTGAGTTCAGACACTTTTCCCTAATGCACGGGCCAGTGTTGAAGTGGCACTTTGTGCTGGCCGATAGGTCGTACTGTGTCTATCAGATTGCTTCCAAACGCCTGAAAAAAATGAAAAACCAGAACAAACCAACCCTCTTTCAGGCTGCTAAATACCAAGCAGGAATATTAGCAGAAGTGAAGCTTTTAATCTCACTTTACACATAAAGATGTTTTTCAAATCGAATATCAGAAAACTCAACAAAAAACCCCACACCCAAGTATGTAGATACTCCATTTAAAGCTTGGTTTCAGTATAGCTAGTTTGGCAATCTAAAGCAAAATCATCAAGAGTCAATAAAAACATAAGAAGTAGAACTGCATCATGGCTGGAGACAAGAAGCTACGGTTACATCCAAGAGGCAACAGCAGAGCATCTGTGCTTGCGTTCAGTCCACAGAACATTCCAGCAGCAGTCCAAGATGGAGCATCACAGCAGCTTCTGCTTATGTTTGAACCAAGTTACTAGAGTTGCAATCAGTTTCTTCTTAATCTAAAATATCAGTCAAAAAGCAGCCAGAGAGCCTGATAACCAATACCTACTTTTCTTCTTCTTTATTCCTCATTTCAGATAGTATTACTGGTCTAGGGATCAGTCTTTACTGTATGATGTCTCTGTGTACACATTTCACAACGGTGAAACCAGCAACCACCAGGTGAAGCCTTAAAACAGTTTTTAGTGACAAAGTGTTCTGAGACTTTTGCTGCCCTGAATTATTTGGGGTGTTAGAAGAAATGTTTTGTTTATTAAGCAGCATGTACCACAGGTAGGAGAGACTAACAAACAGCTCCTGGAAATCAAGGACACTCACGTGCTCTATTTGTCATAAGCACACATTTTAATGCCTTATAGATGTTACAGAAAATTTACAGTATATGTGAAGGTAGAAATAGAATTTCTGTATTTAAATAGGGACATTTACAGATAAACATATGTATTCAGTAGCTTGCATTGCAGACTTTTATGGTGTAGATCTTCAGCTGAAGGGTTATGATTACACATACCAGCAGATAGGATTGCGAGGCAGAACGCAGGAGCCACAACTTTATAAAGCAAAGACCTTTCAGAGGCCTCAAGCTCTCTCCTGCGCATGACCGAAGGTTTCCACTTATTGCAGCACTGGTGGCTGCCACACTGTGTTGCCCCATGGACAAGAGGAGATGAGTTTTTGTAAGGTGTAAGATCACACAAACAGCTTACCCCAAAATCGCCATGATTCTGCAGGGTGAAGGGCACAGCTGAAGGCAGAGCTTTGCTCTGCATGTCTTGTTCCCGGGACAGAGCTGTTACAAGGCTTTCCTTTCTTCTGCTGTTGTCCGGAGTTGACAACAATTATTATTTAACTTCTTTCCTTTCCAAACTTTCCTGAGCCCATACTCAGGGCTCTATGCAAATTGGAGCCTACTAGGATGAGGTGAATTACTTGGACTTGGTAAAGACTGATCTGAATGCTTCCCTTTTCGTCAATTTATTGGGTCAGTAAACTTTGATCCATTTTTTATTTCTTCATTTCCTGGCTCTGTCCAGAGTTTGAATAGTGTGAATGCTGTGAAGTAAACCATTCACTAAGTATTTCTTGCTTAAAATATTCAGTGAGACCCATATGTCCTGAGATACCTGTATTTTGCCAGGAGTTCCAGTGAGCTGTGCAAAGTCCTCTCCCCTGCAAACCGACATAAATCAAGGAAGGCCTCGTGTGCGGCATACTTATCTGAAACTAATACCTAAAGTCTTCACAAATACTGCTTTTTCTCTCCCTCATTACTGTTGTTTTTAAGTGCCTGTCAGGATTTGCTGCAGATGGGAAAATAGCTTTTCTTCACCCCCTCACCCTCTGTCGTCAAATATGTAATTATCAGAAGAAGCAGTTCCTGTAAAATGTGTTTTCCAATAAGAGCACACACTTTTTGAGCTGTGTTATTACAGTTTCATTTGATAAAAGCAGTAAAGCATGCACAATTTCAAATGAGAGAAGTCCTGCTGACCACAATAACGGATACATTTGCTGGCTGAAATTGTAACATCATTTGAGATGATAGACACACAAAGAAAATTCCATGTAATTCAGGTATTACGATAGTGTGTCTTGCTTTCAGGGATGTACTGGAAGGCATAAGGAAGCCCTCAGTCACCAGTTAGCTTGGCTGGTAAAAAGCATGCATACTCATACTGAAAAAATGAACCACATGGTGCCTGCAGCAAGAAGGAGTTGGACTTGATGCAGGAGATGCGTCCTGACCTGTGTTAGTTACAGGCATCAAAAGAGAAACATGGCAGCATTAATGCCTTTTGCAGAATTTTTTTCTTGGTGGAAAAGGCTAGTAATGGCTTTTGAAGTGTCAGTGTAGCACATCATGCTGAATGACTTCAGCTGCTTCGTTCATCCCCTACGTTCCTGCCAGCCCAGGGATTTCAGGGGCAGCAGAGGGGGATAGTGACATTTCTAATGGGAAGAGATGAGGAGGGAGGGAAGGGAGGGCAGCTCATGCCAGCAGAGCTCAGGGGAGAGAGGGCAGGAGAAAGGAAATTTGGAAACTCTCCTTGCTGGCATTAGAAATGACTGGACTTTGGAAATCCTGGAAAATAGTCACTGTGCATGTGTACTTGCCTTGTGGATCCCAGGCATAGGGGCCTCGCTGCATGGCTGCTGTAGATGGGTATGTCCATAACCTCTTTTCTTCAAGATACATTTTACTACTGGCAAAAAGAGACTTTATTATGTATATAATATATATTTTTTTAATGTATATATTTATATACACATATATGCATTTGTCCAGATAATTTATAACAGCTTCCCAAAGCTTGTGCCTGCAAAAAAAACTTTTTTTTTTTCCTTGGGCTTTAGCCTAAAGAGCTGCCTTAGCTACAGGTGTTGTGTTTTTAAATTTAAATTTCTTACTAACATAATTTCTTACTGACATAACTGAGAAAGCAAAACTTCTAATAGCAAACCTGGCTCTTTCCTCACAGGAGGGAACTGTCACCCATTCTGAGTATTAAGGTGCCCATCTGCCCATTTTCCTGCCCTGCACAAAACCTTCAAGTACTACACAGTAGATGATAATTTTTTCTTAATAACTTCTGCTAACCAGGCACATCCACTGTGTTTTTTATTCTCCAAGAGGTTTGGCATCTCTTCCAAAGAAGTACCTCCATACTGATTATGAAGTTGGATTAATTCTTATATGCTTTCTGTTCCTCCAGATTCGATTTAGACTTTTCACTTTATTACCCATATTTTTTGCATTTTTCATATAGTAGTGTAGTTTAACAATTTCAGTAATGCAAATTAAAAAAAAAAAACCAAACACAACCCTACAATAAGTAAAGATAAATACAGAAAAGCAAAATTTTAGCATTAGTCCTCTGAAAGCAATAGAATTAAAAAAATCTGTCCTTCACTTGTGAGATGCATAAAGGAGGAAATAATCAAACAAACATTATGCGTACAAGAGCAAGCTGTTGTTCACTTTGACCCTAAATTAATTTGACCCTGTTTTAGAATGACTTGACTTTATTTTACATCTGAATATCAGCTGAACAGACCGGTAATTATCTTTTGTAATCATGTATCACACTGAAGCAATCTGCCCTATGTCAGTGGACACTGCATGTAGTGGAATTTTCCTTATATCTTTAAAGCATTAAAGATGCTTTTATAACATAGATATAACATAGATATAACAATGAACATCACTAATGAAAGTTTCACATATGACTGTCAGAAAAAGACTGTCAGCAGCAATATGCCTTTCTGATTCCCCAAGTTATCTTCCAGTGACTCTGACTGCTAGATATACAGTTCCTTTAACCTGTAAAAGTTTGGCAATTTTAATATTCTAATTATGGAGGACCAGGGTTCCTAAAAAAAAATCTAAAGTAATTGCTTACCTAGGTTAATCCAAAATATTAAAATAAAGAAAAAGTATTCTCAGATGAGTAATAAGGAAAAAAAAAGTAGTTGTGTGAAATAAATAATTTTGATAACTTCAGAATGTTGTGTATTTATTTTGACCAAATAAAAATACTAGGCTTCAACTCACTTAAATTTGAGATGCTTCAGCAAGGAAGAAATATTTTTCTACTTTTTGACGAACTGGCATTATTCAAGGAAAGACTGTTGTACCACAAAATCATTGTGATTCTGCTGATAAGCCAGGAGACAAGCTGTGATAGTCGTACTCGTATTAGTATCTACTTGACAATCTGAGTTGTCCTATAGGCTACAAGTGCACAGAACAATTCTAAATGACTTTATATGCCTT